TTATCTTCTTTTCTTAGATAAGTCCCTTTAACATTTCATAAAATAAGGGCTTGGTGATGATGAACTCCTTTAATTTGACCTTATCTGAAAAGCACTTTATCTTCCCTTCCATTCTAAATGAAAGCTTTGCTGGATAGAGCAATATGGGATATAGGTCCTTGTCTTTCATCACCTGAAATACTTCTTCCCAGCCCCTTCTTGCCTGTAAGGTCTCTTTGGAGAAATCAGCTGACAGTCTGATGGGAACTCCTTTGTAGGTTACTGTCCCCTTATCTCTTGCTGCTTCTAGGATTCTCTCCTTCATTTTTACCTTGGCTAATGTAATTATGATGTGCCTTGGTGTGTTTCTTCTTGGGTCTAACTTCTTTGGGGCTCTCTGAGCTTCTTGGATTTCTTGGAAGACTGTTCCCTTTGCCAGTTTGGGGAAGTTCTCCTTTATTATTTATTCAAATAACTTTTCCATTTGTTGCTCCTCCCCTTCTGGTACCCCTATAATTTGGATGTTGGAACGTTTAAAGGTGTCCTTGATGCTCTTAAGCTTTTCTTCGATTTTTTGAATTCTTATTTCATCATGCTTTCCTGCTTGGTTGATTCTATCTTCCTTCTGGTCCACTGTATTGTTTTGAGACTCAGATTCCTTCCTTTCACTATTGGCTCTCCTCTGCGTATCTTCCTGCATCTCTTTTATGGTAACCTGCATCCTTTCATCTAAATTGCGCCCAAAGTCAACCAATTCCGTGAGCTTTCTGATCACCAGAGTTTTGAACTGTGCATCTGATAGACTGGCTATTTCTTGGTCGCTCAAAAGGATGAGTCCTGGGGGACTGATCTGTTCTGCTGGAAACATGTCTTATGTCTTTCCCTGTCTCTCCTATTATTTTTTTTTTTCGGTCTGGTCGCTCTTGTTACAGTGGGGGACGGAGCCTTAGGTGTTCACCGGGGCTGGGCACCCCAGTCGCTAGATTGTGACATTATGTGCGGGGGCGGGAGCGGGGACGGGAGGGAACAATGGTGACAGTTCTGTTCTCCTGGGCTCAGACACTTCCCTGGGCTCCTGAGCTGGGAGCTCTGCCCTGGTCCACAATTGCTGCCCCACTGATTCCCCCAGCTGCTGCTTGCATACTCAGGGATCACCGCTGCATTCTTGCGCCCCAGATGGCTGTCACGTCGATTTTGCGCCAAATTTCCCTCGACCTCCGTGCGCTGCCGACCCGCACCAGCCCCGCGCCCGCCCGGCTCGTCGTCCCCTACCAATCTGGATATACGGGTCTACTTCAACTTCTTGGCTGTCCGACTTCCATTCAGATAAATCCTCTGACAGTTCTGAGTGATATTATATCTGTAAATTATTGTTCTATTCTTGGTTGTGCGAGGAGGTACAGTGCGTCCACCTATTCCTCCATCTTGCCGGAAGTCTGGATTTTTCTTTATTTCACTTACTGTAGCCTTCATTTCTTCCCTTATGCTTTTGCTGTACTCAGTGAGTTCTCTGAGCATCCTTATCACCAGTGGTTTGAACTCTGTATCTGATATAGGCTGGGTATCTCCACTTTGTTTAGTTATTTTTCTGGTGTTTTTTTCTTTTCTTTCATTTGAGCCATATTTCTTTGTCTCCACAATTTGGCAGTCTCCCTATATTTGCTTCTGTGTATTAGGTAGAGTGAATTTGACTCCTTGTCTTGGCACACCTGTCAAATAGTATGGGGTGGAGCTTTAGGTATTCACCTGTTTCACCACTTTGTGGCTCTGTATGTGGGGTAGGGGTTGGAGAGGGGACAATGTCATTGCCTGGCTCTTGAAGGCTTGCTTGGCACTTGCCCCATTTCCAGTCATTTTACCCACTTCCTATAAGTGATTGGTGCCCTTCTAGCTGTTGCCTTAGGGGTGGTTCCCAGAGTGGGTAGGTAGGTGTACTTCTAGGACTGTGCAGGTCCTTTAAACAGACTCTCCTAAGAGACTGGCAGTTTTTTCCACCACCCCAACCCCCATTGAATTTTACAGCCAGAAGTTATGAGGCTTTATTTTTCTGGTGCTAGAACCCTGGGCTGTGTGGTCTGGCCTGGGTTGTTCCCCAGGTATCCCTCCTAAATTTTATCCACTACGTGTGAACGTGGGTCCAACTGTTCTGCTAGCTGCCACCACTGCTGCCTTACTGCTGCCACCTGGCTGCTGCCATACCACATTTTCTCAGTCCTGGTTCCCTGTCTCTACACCTTCTGCTCATCAGGATGAATATGGCTTCTTTGAATCCTTGGTTGTTGGACTTCCACACAGTTCAATTTTCTGATAGTTCTGGGAGTTCTTTGTTTTCAGGTTAGGTGTGATCCTTCTTATGGTTGTGCTAGGAGGTGAAGTGTGTCTACCTATGTCTCCATCTTGACAAGAAGTTCCTATTTTTATAGTTTTGATTTTTTCCTAAATAAGTCCCTTTAACATTTCATATAATAATGGTTTGGTAATGATGGACTCCTTTAGTTTTTTCTTGTTTGGGAAGCTCTTCATCTGCCTTTTGATTCTAAATGATATCTATGCTGGGTAGAACAATCTTGGCTGTAGGTCTCTGCTTTTCATGACTTTGAATATGTCTCTTCTAGCCTGCAAAGTTTCCTTTGAGAAATCAGCTGACAGTATTATGAGAATTCCCCTGTAGCTAACTAACTTCTTTTCTCTTTATCTTTAAGATTCTCTCTGTATCTTTACCCTTTGGCATTTTAATTATGATGTGCCATGGAGTGGGCCTCTTTGCATCCAACTTGTTTGGGAGTCTCTGTGCTTCCTGGACTTGCACATCTATTTCCTTTGCCAAATTAGGTAAGTTTTCTTTCCTTATTTTTTCAAATAATTTTCCACTTTTTGCCTTTTCTCTTCTCCTTCTGACACCCCTATGATATGAATGTTGTACAGCTTAAAATTGTCCCAGAGGCTGCTTACACAATTCTCATTTTTGGATTCTTTTTTCTTCTTGTTTGGTTGGTTGTTTTTTGCTTCCTTATACTCCAAATCACTGATTTGGTTCTTGGCTTCATCCAGCTTACTGTTGTTTCCCTGTAAACTGTTCTTTATTTCGAATAGTGTATCCTTTGTTTCTGACTGGATCTTTTTTATGCTGTTGAGGTCCTCACTAAATTCCTTGAGCATCCTTATTAACCCGTGTTTTGAATGCTGCATCTGATAGATTGCTTAGCTCCATTTTGTTTAGCTCTTTTTCTGGAGTGTTGATCTGTTCTTTCGTTTGGGCCATGTTTCCTTGTCTCCTTGTTTTGGCAGCTTCTCTGTGTTTGTTGCTATGTATTAGGTAGAGCTGCAATTAGTGTTGATCTGTTCTTTCGTTTGGGCCATGTTTCCTTGTCTCCTTGTTTTGGCAGCCTGTCTGTGTTTGTTGCTATGTATTAGGTAGACACAGCTTGTCTTGGTAGTATGGCCTAATGTAGTAGGTGTCCTGTAGGGTCCAGTGGCACAGCCTCCCCTATCACCCAAGATGGGTACTCATGGTGTGCCCTTCTTGTGGACTGAGTATACCCTCCTCTTGTAGTTGAGCTTTGTTTGCTGTTGGCAGGTCAATGGGAGGGATTTACCCAGGCCAGTCAACTGTAAGGATTGGCTGTTAACCACTTACCACCAACCTCTACTATCTGTGAAGGATCAGCTGTGCAGGGTGGTGGTGCTCCAATGTGGTCTGTAGCAATCCACTGGGTGTGCTCGCCCTGGGGTTTTCTGGGTGGTGCAGGCCAAGATCAAACACAGGTGGACCTGTGTTTTACCCAGGGCCACCCTGCCTGAGCTATAAAGCAATCTGAAATGGCTGCTACTTGTGCTGGGCTTGGAGATTCCCAGGTGAAGCCAAGCTGTGAATTTAGAATGGCTATTGCTAGTGCTTTGCCTGGGGCTCACTGAGGCCAGCTTTTGCTTGTTTGAGAGGACTGTTATGCAGCATGAGCCAAAACCCATTCATATAGAAAAGCAGCTTGGTGGGCCCATAAGTTGGTTGGGGCAGAGTCTCTAGGTATCTCCAGGGCGAGCCAGTGTTAGCCAGGTTGTTGGAGTCTCAGAAATGGTACCAGCTTGCCAGCTCAAGGGGGTGGGTTTAGAAAAATGTAATGGACTCTGCTTGCCTTGATGGCAGACACTTAAACCTCTCCCAGTATGCCACTGGTGCCTTTGAAGCTGCTATCCCTGTGCTGGAGCTCAGGGGCAGTGAGTCTATGTGTGGATGCTTTAAGAGGAGCTGCTTCGGGCTCCGGCTGACTCAATCTCTGCTTTTTTTTTTTTTTAATTTATTTTAATCATTGTTCAAGTATAGTTTTCTCTCTTTTACTCCCATTCCAGCTCACCCACCCAACCCTCCTCACTTCCCTCCCATTACCACCCTCCCCTTAGTTTCTGCCCATGTGTCCTTTAAATTTGTTCCTGCTGTTTTGTTTTTTTAGCTGAAACTTGTGGGAATTTATTTTCCTGGCACTGGAACCCTGGGCTGGGGGGCCTGGTATGGGTCTAGGTCTCCTTGCTCCTGATATATCCCTCCTGAATTTTTATCTACCACATGTGGTTATGGATCCAGCCTGTTCTGTGTCTGTGCCCCTCCTACCAGTCTGGATGAATGTGGTTTCTTTAATTCTGTAATTGTCAGACTTCTATTTAACTCAGTTTCTGACAGTTCTGAATGATGGTTTTTCTAGTTTAGTTGTAGTTTTGTTGTGGCTGTGCGGAAGAGGCGAGCCACGTCTGCCTACGCCACCATCTTTACTGGAAATACCACAAACTATCTTAAGTGTAGCTAGGGGTTTAATTAATTGGGAATAATCTGTAATTAGAGGCTTTAAGTTTTACAGCTTGACTTAATTGGATCAGGTCATGATTTCTGTTACATATGAAGCAGAAATAATCAGTTGTGTAAAAGAAAAATGTAAAAAAATCACTTTTTTAGTAGTAATCAAGATTGCTTAAAACGTAGTATGAAGAATTTTGCATCCTTCTGAAAATTAGTAATCAATACTCTTCAGTGTGTTCTATTTTTGCCAGATGCTGACAATGTGAAGCCATTGGAGGGTGTAAAAATTCTGGATCTAACAAGGTTTGTATTAGATTATCTGTTTTTGGTGGTTGAGTTTTAACTTTCAAAAAAATTCATTTATTTTTTTTACATTATATGAGTGTGCTTGTTTATATGCGTAGCATCAAAATTTTGGACAGAAAAATTCCTGGAATTTTATCATTCTGAAAGACAATTTGTATAATATTCATGCATTTTTCCAATCTGCATGTTTATATATAATTTTTAAAAACAAACATTTGAACCATACTGAAATGAAGCTTTTATTCACATTTTAAACATGATGTTGCATTTTGTTTAACATTTTGTTGCATTTTAAATGGTTTCTTATGTCATTCAAAATGCAACAAAAAATAAACTATTTTATTATATGGTTGTTACAAAATTAATCATCCTCTATATTTAAGTATTATAAATTAGGTTTCATATTATGTAAATCTTTGTCTCAGGAGTCTTTTAATTTCTTCTGTAGGATAGAATTCTGGAAGTTGAATTTCTGCATTAAAGGAAATATATATGACTTGCTGCATTAAAGTTGAATTGCTGCATTAAAGTAATTTTGGCGATACATATTGCCAAATTACTTTTTGAACCGTTCTAACAATTTTACTTCTTACTAGCATTATATGAGCTTGTCTGTGTTGATGGACTATTAAGAAAATTAAAATAAAAATCTTCAACATGGTAATTTATTTATCGTTATTTAATATTGTAGAGTACTGGCTGGACCGTTTGCTACTATGAATTTAGGAGATCTTGGAGCAGAGGTTATAAAAGTGGAAAGACCAGGTAAAGATGTTGCTCCTTTTAAAACACAGAAACAAACTAATAAGTGTTTTTAATGGTTTTAAAAATATTCATGTACCTGTTTATGGACTGAAGAAAGAATTGAAATGAACTATTATTTTCCTTTCTTCATTCCTTACTTTCTTCTGAACCTATATTAAAGATCTCTTTTTATTTTTTATATATGCCAAGGGCTAAGACTTAAGCCAGGTCCTTCACACACACCTGAAAGCCTCTGGTAGAAACTGAGATGCAACATGTAATGATGCTAACAATACTTAAGTGTTAGGCACATTTTAAAATGCTTTGTTTGGATTATTGTAATTTATTTTTTCTTTTTTAAATATATTTTATTGATTATGCTATTACAGTTGTCCCTTTACTCCCCTTACATTCCCCTCCACCCTGCACACTCTCTCCCACCCACATTCCCCCCTTTAGTTCATGTCCATGTGTCATAAGTTCTTTAGCTTCTACATTTCCCATACTATTCTTGCCATTCCCCTATTTTCTACCTGCCATCTATGCTACTTATTGTCTGTAGCTTTTTCCCCTCTCTCCTCCTCCCACTCTCCTGTTGCTAACCCTCCATGTGATCTCCATTTCTTTGGTTCTGTTCCTGTTCTAGTTGTTTGCTTACTTACTTTTTATTTTTGTTTTAGGTGTGGTTGTTAATAATTGTGAGTTTGCTGTCATTTTACTATACATGTTTTTTATTTTCTTTTTCTTAGATAAGTCCCTTTAACATTTCATAAAATAAGGGCTATGTGATGGTGAGCTCCTTTAACTTGACCTTATCTGAGAAGCACTTTATATTGTAATTTATTTAATCTTAACATCAACCTTGTTACTGTTACTCTTCCTAGATTATAAATGAGAAGACTAAGACACTGAGGTAAAGCAATTTGCCCAAGGTCACGTAGCTAAGAGTATCCATGCACTCAGCTCTGATTCTAAATCTCCTTAGGCACGCACTGATCAGCATCAGGAATATTACATATTATTATATTTATATGACTGTCACAGATAGTAGAGAAACCTGATAAATCCAGTTTTCCAGAGCTAATGCTTTATTTATTCAGTCAGTGATCTTCATTGTATTTAGTCATTGCTGGATACATGCTGAAAAATGTTTACATTCTAGCTAAACATCTCTCCAGGTTCCATAAAACTTCTAATTTCTACATTGCTATCAATTTCAATACCACAACACTTTCTAATTTCAACTACTGTGTCTTCCATTCTAGAGCATCCAATCTAATTTCTCTTGCTATTTCAGTTTGTTACTAGGTTAAATATTTGTATTTACATTAATTTTAAAAATTGTTATTTTCTATTTACTTCAGCCTAGTTTTCCTTTGTACTTACTTGTTTCCATGGTGGGGGACATCTTCCTTTATATCTAGGCCTTTATTATGTCCCATAGCCATATACTTTTTATCAAGCTTAGTTCCCAGCAGGTTTTCATCACCGTTTTTTCTGATTGATTTTTTTCCCTTAATTCTCCTGCCCAGTACATTTTGGTGTTCATATTATATAATTAGTTATTTTGGAGTTTCAACATAGTTATTTAACACATATGAGGAAAAGTAATTTGGCAGTATTTTTAAATTTCAGTAGAATCACTTTTTGTGTCTACTTACTTCTTCAGTTCTTTCAGTAAATAAAATTTGGTTGTAGTTTTCTCATTTAAGACTTAGATTATTTTTATTTGTGTAATCGAAGAGCACATCGAGCTTAAGTATATATATTTTTCTATTTTTAGAGTTAGTCAGTGAGTATAGTAAACTATATACCTGCAGGAACAGGCAGGTAACCAAAATGAGTGAAGTGGACTATGTATGGCTGCAAACGATGCTACTGATATTTCAGGATTGTCCTCAGTAGGCAAGGCTGTGAAGGTAGGAGTGTTGATATTTTGTTCACCACTATGCGTGCTCTGCATAGATCAGTGTCTGTGACATTGTAGCGGCCAATAAATATTTGCTAAATGACTGAATGTGCTAAAACATCAATTAAGACAGTCTGAATTTGTATATGAACTCTCTAGATTTTGAAATCATGGCAGCCAGTTAAAAAGTTTAAGTTGTATGTGGGTGAAATAAAACATGTCTCTCCAGTTGACACTTTTACCAGTTTGTGACCTTTAATGTTTATTTCTTATCATGTGCCATTATCACTGATTCTTTTGCCTCTCTAAAACCCTCCCTGGTTGTACACCAAGGACAAGGTGGGGCAGGGAAGTTGGTAGCACTCCAATTTAGATTTCTGACATTCTGAGAAATGAATGAAAACATTGATAATATTTTTAACCTTGTCATTGCTTAATTTGAAAATAATTTTTTTTAATGTATTGGGAGTTTTCTAAAAAATGGAAGGGTTTGGATTTTCTCTTGACTCTGAGAGGTCCTGTCTGATCCTGAAGATCCAGGTTCATATATTTTTCTATGAAGCCTCTGGTTAATTACTGGGAGATTCCCTTTGTGGGCTCTTGGACTTTGTTTTTTTTTTTTTTTTGCCCCTGATGTTTTGAGCATGCTGTTTTGTCTGATACTTACCATTTATTATTTTGTGTTGTTATTAGTTCATCTCCAGTTAGAACTAGTGCTTCTTTTCTCCTCTGTCTTTTGTTTTCCTTGTGAGTTTCTAAAAAATAAATAAATGAGTATATTATTTGCCTCTGTTTTGTTGTATATTCCAAAAGGCTGTGTCTATTTTTCTGGGTCAATTTCAGTAAAGTCTAATGGGCTAATAGATTAATTACACCATTAAAATGAGATTGGAATTTAAGCTTTAACTTATATTCACAAATTCTTTTTGGGAGGCTAATAATAAATACTTTAGCTGTAATTACATAGTTGGTTAGTTTCTTATACCAATCAGAACTTGTGTTAAAATTTTTAAGTGATACTATTTTGTGCTATTTAACTGTTGATTCATTTTCTGAGTTCTACCTATGTTGTTTGCCAGTTGCTTTACTGTGCAAAGAAAACTTTTTTCTGAAATTTTAATCAAACACAAAGACATTTCATATTCACTTGAAATAGATGTCCAGAATAAAATATCCTATTTTTCAAACTTTAACTTGAAGCAAGACCTAAACAAAATGTTTACAATAAAATTTTTTATTCAGAAATAATTTTTTAAATTAGCTGAATTTTTTAATTCAATAACTTATTTTGTGTTTTCTGACTTGTTTCTACAGAATATTTTAATAGTGTATTTGTCATTGTTCTGTAGATAATCTCAGATGTCATTTTATCATGCCATTTTGTCACTTACCACTATTATGATTTAACTAATAGTTAAGAAGCATCTTTTGAAGACAGTATTTTCTTTGCACATTTAATGCCAAGAAACAGAGACTGAATTGCTTGCCCAAAACAGAGTAAATTTTTTTCCCCTCGAATTTGTTACTTATTTAATCTATAGACTGCCTGTAGGATATATCCTTCCGGATTTTTACTTTCAGGGATGGATTTTAGTGAAAGGATATGGAAGGATCATTGATTAACATATACAGGTAAAGAGTTTGGATAGTCCTAATGGGCTCCTTTGACCTCTTTTGCATTGCTAATTCCACCGAATTTAACTGATCTTGTTCAAGCACATGAAATATATATCATGAGTGAGCCTGCTGGTGTGAAATGCCTCATGATGTTTCAGAGTTAAAGATTAATAGCTCATATTATTATTTTTAGGAGTTGGTGATGATACACGAACTTGGGGGCCACCTTTTGTGGGGACAGAAAGTACCTATTTTCTCAGTGTAAACCGAAATAAAAAAGTAAGAATATCATTCCTTTTTCTAAACTGCTTTCTTCATGTAATTGTCTTGTAGAAACAAAATTTTTGATATTGTTCTGGCTTGTTTGTACCCTCTTTTGTAGATGTAGTTAATATTTCAAATAAGATAAAATTTTATTCATTCAACAGTTACCAAGTAGAAACAATAGAGCTTTTTATTAATCTTTTTTCTCTATTAACTTAAAACATTTCACAAGAATTTATAATGATTTGTAATGGAAATAATTTTATTAATTTTTTTAAATGGCTCATTATATTTGTTACTGTTTTGGCAATTGGTGATTGTGTATCACATGCTTTTATTATTTGAAAAATTTTTACTGTAATCCTCACTACATTCTAACACATCTGAATTGCAAGTAAAATCAATGAAGATGACTTAAATGTTTCTTCAGGAGGAAAATACATTTGCTTTAAGAGGAGAATATATGATATGAATGGCTCCCTTGTTGAACTGTCAGTATTAACAAAAAACTTTATGATACCATTTTAATATATATATTCTTTAATTTTTAGAGTATAGCTGTTAATATCAAGAATCCAAAAGGAGTGAAAATCATCAAAGAGGTACAGTATATTCAGTGAAAGGCATTTTACCACTTGGATTATAATTAGGGATTTAACAGCAGAGTAAAAGTGTTCTAAAGTTTTATTTCATTGACAATCTATAATTTTGCTGTAAATGTCATTTAAGAATATAACTTTACTTTTATGGTAAGTATAATTTACTTTATAATTTCTTGCACATTGTGTATAATGTTTCTTGATACTGTGAGGGTATTTAGTTTTAGTACTAGCTGCTATTGACTGAATGCCTACTCTGAATCAGATCTTAGGCTTGGGCACTATACTTACATTATCTTCTCAAATCCTGGGATTTTGATTTGCAAATGAGGAATTCTAATGGTCATTTTCACAGGAGGAAAATGACTCTTATGGGGCTTAAGTGATACTCTGAAGATTTACATAGCTAGTAAAAGGAAGAGCTGAAATTTGAACCCTGGGTTCACATCCCTAGAGAGCCCAAGCTTTTTCTAACACTTAATCAGATCTCCAGTATGTCCAGACATGCCCTTGGTATCCTTTCTTGAGGAACAAGATTGCAGGATGGTTTGGGGCATATCCTAGCATTCCATTGCTGGGATTCAGATCTCTTCTCTAATTTTTAAAATATATTTTATTTATTATGCTATTACAGTTGTCCCATTTCCCCCCTTTTATTCTCCTCTGCCCTGCACACGCCCTCCGGCCTGCAGTCCCCACCTCCTCTTAGTTCAGGTCCGTGGATTATACATTATAAGTTCTTGGGCTTCTCCATTTCCCATACTATTCTTTACCTCCCCCTATTTTCTACCTATCATTTATGCTACTATTCCCTGTACCTTCTCTCTCCTTCCCTCCTCCCCTTCCCCACTGATAACCCTCCATGTGATCTCCATTTCTGTGATTCTGTTTCTACTGTAGTTGTTTGCTTAGTTTGTTACTTGTTTTTTTAGGTTCGATTGTTGATAGTTGTGAGTTTGTTGTGATTTTACTGCTCCTATTTTTGATCTTCTTTGTCTTAGATAAATTGCTTTAACATTTCATATAATAAGGGCTTGGTGATGTTGAACTCCTTTAACTTAACCTTATCTGGGAAGCACTTTGCCTTTCCATTCTAAATGATAGCTTTGCTACATAGAGTAATCTTGGTTGTAGGTCCTTGCCTTTCATGACTTTGAATACTTCTTTCCAGCCCCTTCTTTTGAGGTTTCTTTTGAAAGGTTTGTAAGGTTTCTTTTGAGAAATCAGTCTTATGGGAACTCCTTTGTAGGTAACTGTCTCCTTTTCTCTTGATGCTTTTAAGATTCTCTCATCTTTAATCTTGAATAAGGTAATTATGATGTGCCTTGGTGTGTGCTTCCTTGGGTCCAACTTCTTTGGGACTCTGAGCTTCCTCAACTTCCTGGAATTCTATTTCCTTTGCCAGATTGGGGAAGTTCTCCATTATGTTTTCAATTTTTTGCTCTTCCTCTTTTCCTTCTGGCACCTCTATGATTCGAGTGTTGGAATGTTTGAAGTTGTCCTGGATGTTCCTAAGCCTCTCCTCATTTTTTTGAATTCTCGCTTTTTCATTCTGTTCTGGTTGAATGTTTATTTCTTCCTTCTGGTCTAAACCATTGATTTGAGTCCAGGTTTCCTTACCTTTACTATTGGTTCCCTGTATATTTTCCTTTATTTCACTTTTCTTAGTCTTCACTATTTCTTCTATTTTGCAACCATACTCAACCAATTCTGTGAGCATCCTGATTACCAGTGCTTTGAACTGTGCATCTGTTAGGTTGGTTATCTCTTTGTCACTCAATTGTATTTTTTCTGGAGCTTTGATCTGTTCCTTGATTTGGGCCATATTTTTCTGTCTCTGAGTGCCTGTTAACCTAGTAAGGGGCGGAGCCTTAGGTATTTGCCAGAGTGGGGCAACCCACATTGCTGTGTTGTCATGCTGTATGTGGGAGAGGGGTTGGAGAGGGAACAATGCCACTTATTCAGCACTTGGCCAGCTTTTAGTCACTTCCTCTACTACCCACAAGCAAATTGGGCCATTCTGGTGCTGATGCCTGGGTAGGTGGGTTCGTGTACATTGTAGAACCCTGTGGATCTCTCCAATGAACTCTCCTGTGAGGCTGGGAGTTTCACCGACAGCCTCAAAACCCCACAGGTTTTTTCAGTCAGAGATTTTGAAGCTTTATTTCCCCACACCAGAACCCAAGGTTATGTGGTCTGTTTTGCTCCCCAGTTGTTCCTCCCAGCTTATCTGTATGCAAATGTGGGACTGCCCACTCCTACCAGTCTGGATGAATGTTTCTTCTTTACCTTCTTGGTTGTCGAACTTTCATACATTTAGATTTTCTGTCAGTTCTGGTTGTTTTTGTTTTTTAAATTCGTTTTTGTCCTTATTTTGGTTGTGAGAGGAGGCACAGTGTATCTACATTGCCTCCATCGTGGCTGGAAGTCCTTCTCTTCTCTATAGCTATGTGACTTCAGACAGGTTACTTAAAGGATGCCTCAGGTTCCTTATTAGTAAAATGTGGATAATAATAGTACCTATTTCTTAGGATTGTTATTCTAATTATTATTATTGTTTATGTACATGAAATTGAATTCATCATGTGAGATAGAAGTTTGTCATCTTTGTTACAGTTTAAAATCTAATCTAATGGATGTAAGTCTACTTGATTAGAGAAACAAATTTCAAAATTAGTTTTGTACAAAACAGTAAACTTTAACATCATTGCCCTGCTGCTATTTTCCCTACCTATTGGGTGATTGAAAGATAATTTTTTCATATTTATTAAGATGAGAATCAGTGGCCATGTACTTTGGTGCTATTTGATTAACCTTGTAAATTTAGAGTTTTTGTTTATTAGATATATTTTGAACCCAAGCTTGGTAATTGCCTTGATCTGTTTTCCTACGTCTTTCCTACTAATATAGTTTTTTAAATTTTTATTATGTATATTATTACAGATGTTCCATTTATTCTCCCTTCACTCCCCTCCACCCAGCCCACCTGCCACTTCCATAGTCAGTCCCCAAACCACTGCCTGTGTCCATGGGGCCTTCATGAATGTTCTTTGACTAATCCCTTCACCTTCTTTCAATAAGTCCCCACCTCCTCCATCTCCTCTTACAGCTATTACTTTATTCCATGATTCCATGCCTCTGGTTCTATTTTGCTCATTGTTTTATTTTGTTCATTAGATTCCCCTTATAAGTGAGATCCCTTTTTTGTATTTCACTGACTGAATTATTTCACTTAGCATAATAGTCTCCATTTCCATTCATGCTGTAGCAAAAGGCATGAATTCCTTTTTTCTGTTGTGTCGTATTCCATTGCGTAAATGCACCACAGTTCTTTTAAATATTTTATATTTTTATTATTTTTTAAATAATTATTGTATTGTTGTTCAATTACAGTTGTCTGCATTTCCCCCCAACCACTCCCACCTCCCTCCCTTGCTTCCATCCTTCCCCTCGGTTTTGTCCATGTGTCCTTTATACTAGTTCCTGAAAACCCTTCCCCTCATTATTTCCTCCAACCTCCCCTCTGGTTACTATCAAATTATTCTTAATTTCTATGTCTCTGGTTATATTTTGGTTGCTTGTTTGTTTTGTTGATTAGGTTCCAGTAAAAGGTGAGATAATATGGTATTTGTCCCTCACCTCCTGGCTTATTTCACTTAGCATAATGCCCTCCAGTTCCATGCATGCTGTTGCAAAGGGTAGGAGCTCCTTCTTTCTCTCTGCTGCGTAGCATTCCTTCATGTAAATATACCATAGTTTTTTGATCTGTGCATTTCCTGATGGGCACATAGGTTGCTTCCATCACTTGGCTATTGTAAATTGTGCTGCTATGAACATTGGGGTACATAGGTTTTTTTGGATTGGCATTTCAGGGTTCCTGGGATATAATCCCAACAGTGGAATTGCTGGGTCAAAAGGCATTCCATTTCTAGTTTTCTGAGGAATCCCATACTGGTTTCCACAGTGGCTGCACCAGTCTGCAGTCCCACCAACAGTGCAGTAGGGTTCTTTTTTCTCCACATCCTCTCCAACACTTGTTTGTTGATTTGTTTATGAGGATCATTCTGACCAGTATGAAGTGATATCTCATTGTGGTTTTAACTTCCATCTCTCTGATGGCTAGTGATGCTGAGCTTCTTTTCACATGTCTCTGGGCCCTCTGTATGTTTTCCTTGGAGAATTGTCTGTTCAAGTCTTTTGCCCATTTTTTAATTGGGTTTTTTGTCTTCCTGGAGTAGAGTTGTGTGAGTTGTTTATATATTCTGGAGATCAAACCCTTGTCTGAGGTATCATTGGCAAATACGTTTTCCCATATAGTTGGTTCTGTTTTCATTTTAATGCTGTTTTCTTTAGCCATGCAGAAGCTTTTTTAATTTGATGAGGTCCCATTTGTTTATTCTTTCCTTTATGTCCCTTGTTTTAGGGGACATATCCATGAAGATGTTGCTGCTTGGAATGTCTGAGATTTTCCTGCCAATGTTTTCCTCTAGGACTGTTATGGTGTCACGACTTATATTTAAGTCTTCTATCCACCTTGGATTTATTTTTGTGTATGGTGTAAGTTGGTGATCGAGTTTCATCTTTTGCCTGTAGCTGTCCAGCTCTCCCAACACGATTTGTTGAAGAGGCTATTTTTACTTCATTTTATGCTTCTTTCCCCTCTGTCAAACATTAATTGACCATAGAGACTTGGGTTTATTTCTAGGCTGTGTGTTCTGTTTCATTGGTCCATGTGTCTGTTCTCATGCCAGTACCAGGCTGTTTTGATTACAGTGGCCTTGTAATACAGTTTGATGTCAGATATTGTGATATCTTTGTTCTTCTGTGTTCTTCTTTCTCAAAATTGCTGCAGCTGTTTGGGGTCATTTATGGTTCCATATAAATTTTGAAATGTTTGTTCTGTATTTGTGAAATATGTCACTGGTACTTTAATAGGGATTGCATTGAATTTCTTTGGGTAGTATGGATATTTTGATCATGTTAATTCTTCCAATCCGTGAACA